CCAAAGGTCTCAAAGAAGTGTAGCCTGGAAATATGCTCGTAATACGTAAACCAGTTCTTAGATTCAGGATGGAACGTAAGAAAGAGAATGAAGCATCAGGTTTGGTCATTGCTTAGAGGTGACTGATAAAAGTTATGGAGGCGGAGAAGACCCTCAAGAATTGGATACTGACCAGAAAATGAACGGATGCAGCCTGAAGACAGAAGTGCAGGAAGTGAACACCCATATTTGGGGTGTGAGAAAGGTGCAGAGCCTGGGCGAGGACTGGAAAGGCAGCTGCAGGAGGCGGGTCAGGGGAGCGCTGCTGTGAACCCCGAGGCTAGAGCCCTGCAAGAGGCAGATGGTGTTGAGAAAGCTCCTGACTTGTTGGGTTTCAAGGTCCTGACTTGTTGGGTTTCAAGGTTTTATCAGGCTTAATCTTAATATCTGTTTGGAGGAAAACATTTAGGAAAAAATCAGTTCCCTTATCTGGATATTTATTGTATGCCTCAGGGTACCCTGGTCCTTTGTAAGAGTTAGTTTATGTATTACAAGCATGTATACAGGTTCCGCTACTTTGTGACCTTTGGCACCTTACTCTGCTTGTTAGTTGCCTTCAAGTAGGTCGCAACTCACAGCGACCTTGTGTATAAAAGAAGGAAATGTTGCCTGGTCCCCAGTTTTCCTCACAGTGGAAGATATGTTTGACCTCATTTCTGAGCCTTCATTTCTTCATGCGAAAATAAGGAACCGGGTGATATTGAGGTTCTAACTGGTGCTCAAATTCTGTGAGCCTAAAATTTTCGACAGGCTGTTTTCTTATAATCAGAGAGAGAGCATGTATACACATACCTAGAGCCTGTGTAATAAGAATACATGTTGATGACATCATAAGTAATTCAAAAATCTTAAGCTATAAAGTTTGAATAAATTCCCATGTAATGAAAATACTGGGTAAGGATTATTTCTTTTTCTTTTTTTTAAATTTTATTTATTTATTTATTTATTTATTTTAACATTTTATTAGGGGCTCATACAACTGTTATCCCAATCCATACACACATCAATTGTGTAAAGCGCATTTGTACATCATTTCTCAAAACATTTTCTCTCCACTTAAACCCCCGACATTAGGTCCTCATTTTTCCAATTCTTTATCAGAGTAGAAAACCTCATCTTTTTCCCAAGAAGCAACTGATGTTTTCGAACTGTTGTCCTTGGGCATTGCAGCCCGATAGTAACTACTATACCACCAGGGCAAGGATTATTTCTTCACTTTAAGTTCTTGTGCCAAATTCGGCACTCATTATGAATGAGCATGGCAGTAGGAATTATCGTATTTAGATTCTTTTTTAAAGTCAGTCCCCAAAAGTACTGCCTCAAGTACATTTAGTCACAAAATCATTTTGATTTTATTTTTACAAAGTCATTTTGAAAGCATCGTGGCTCAGTCCCTCAATAACTATTAAGATGTTTCAGAAATGATTTCACCTCTCCAAATTCAGTTTCCTCATGTATGAAAGAGATCTGAAGATAATACGATCTTCCTCACGGTTTTGTGGACACAATAAGTATTAGTCTTTATCAGAAATACTCTTGAGATAATATTTGTCAGTGAAGAGCTCCATATTTGCAAATCTCGAAAAAGATCACGGAAGGCAAAAGGCTGTATTAGAGGGCTGCATTTCATTGGGGGACCATTGGAAATTTTAGTTTTCTCCAACTACACAGTGAAGCACGGAGCCTTGGTGACTTAATGGGTTCACATTGGGCTGCTAACCAGAAGGTCTGCTGTTCAAAGCCACCAGTCACTCTGTGGGAGAAAGTTGAGGCTTTCAATTCCTGTAAAGATTCCGTTTCTGAAAGCCATAGGAGCACTTCTACCCTGTGCTATCATGTCACTCTGAGTCAGAATGGACTTGACCGCGGTGAGTTTATCTAGTGAAGGAGTCCTAGTGACACTATGAGCTGGCCATTGGGCTATTAACCTCAAGGTCAGTGGATTAAACCCACCAGCTGCTCCACAGGACAGAGATGAGACTCTCTGCTAGAAAGACTTAGAGTTTTGGAAACCCGGAAGGGGCAGTTCTACTCGGTTTCTATGAGTCAGTCAATCTGATGGCAGTGGGTTTGGTTTTTAGTTTGATTCTTGTTAGTGAATGAAGAGGGGATAACACATACCCTTCCTCCTCAGCCCATGCTTTATTGCACTATTGACAGCAGTGTGGTGCAGGTCATTAGTTTCACGAATTTAGAGCCATGTTACCAGATTCTTTTCCTTGTTTTTTAACTTCTGGTCATTTTACCTCACATAATACTTTATTCATTCACATACTCATGTTTATTCTGCAGAATTCTCTTCCTCCCAATATGAGAGCATCTGTAAAGCCTTTCTGTTGTAAATAGAGCCCTTACTGAGGTTGTTCAGATGAAAATGTTTTAATGCATTATGTATTAGGGCGCACTGTGATCAGCTCTGCATATTTTAACCTTTTGAACGTTTATTGTGGTGTGGTTTGACGATGGTAGATGAAAATATTTAACCAACAAGTCCGACTATACATTGCTTTATCTAGAATGAAGGCAGGACCTGAAAGCCACACCCCATTATTGGCAGAGAGCGCTCAAGGTAGTAAAAACAGTTCCCCAAATAGAAACAATTCCAGTGAAAATGTCTTGTGGTGCTGCTGGAAAACCTTTCTATAGTGTCATTAATTGGATATTTGTTTCCTTGCTTGCGTGCGTGCGTGCCTGCTGCGTTTGAGATCAAGAGTTGTGGCTGTCGTTAGGTGCCGTTCCGTCAGCGCTGACCCAGAGCAGCACTATGCATGCAACAGAGAGAATCACTTTGGCCTTTCCAAGTCTAAGGTCTTTCCTCCACGTTTTCCTCCCTGAACTGTCTCTGTTGTTAAACTGGAAACACATCTGGGTGTGGTGCTGTGTCTACTTAGTTCAAGGCATTCATGTAGGTTTTGCCCCACTTCTGTCAAGTTCAAAGTCTTTTTGTTAATGCAACTCAAATAGTATTGGTTTTGGGGTGGGGCAACCTGCTATTGGGAAAAGTGCTTAACGTTACTTATACAGACCCCCAAGAGGAGAATATGTCTGGTATTATGTTTCTAACTGGACTGTAGTTTCTGTTCAGCCCTTGGTGACCCCAGGCAATGTGCTATAGACAACTGGAACTTCAGACCATATCCTTTCAAGATACAGAGCATCCTTCAGAGACCACACCAGAAGGATCCAATTTGGAAAACCTACTAAGCAAATTGGACTTTACTTAAAACTCACCTGTAGCAGATTTAAGGAGCTGAAACACTCCCTTAGTCTTAAGGCTGAAACACCCTCCTGGGCGAAGCAGATGACCGCTATCCCACGGCTATGGAATCGGTGGTCTTTGGCTTTCTTGCTTTGAGGGTACACAATGACTACCATATATTTACTATTTTCATGCTCTCTCTGCTTTTTTTTTTTAAGTAATGTGTTAGGGTAGCAGGCATGGTTCTGCCTTTGTGAACGAGTGTTACTGAAAATGTTGCCTATCTCCAACCCTCATTGTTTATGTAAATAGTGCCCAGTCATTTCAGTTTTCAATCTGTACAAGTCAACATTTCATGTATTGTGGTCTAAAAAGCTGCCCTCATTCAACTCACTGCCATCGAGCTGATGCCAACTCATTGAGACCCAATAGGACAGGGTCGAACTGCCCCTGTGAATTTCTACAATTGTAACTGTTTATGGGAACAGGACCCCCCCCCCCACGCTGAGTCCCACTGAGCTGACCTTGCAATTAGTAACCTGATGTGTGACCACTGTGCAACCAGGGCTCCTATAAAAGCTGCCCTATTCATGTTTAATTTCCTTTTCTCAACAGTGTTTTAAATTCTATACCATTGGCTAAATTAAGGATACTGTCAATAGAATTACCTTATACCCCATGGGGGTGATTTATAATGTTCCCCAATAAAATGATAATAATGTCTCGAGAGTGAACCAGGAGCCTATATATTGTATCGCCAATCTCAGAACAATTAGTTCTTATAACTCTATCAAAGCTCGTCCTCATGAAAAGATCACTGAAGCTATGGGTGCTATATACAGCAGAGTGTGCTGAAGAACTCAGATGGTGCCTGGGTAACATAAAGAATACGTCTAGAGTCTTAAAGAGGTGTCTTCAAACAAGCAGCCATCTAAGTGAAGTATCAACTAAGTCCCCATGGAAGAAGCACACAAGCCTGTGTGATCCAAGCATTTAAAATAATAAAATCCAAATCTGAAGGAGAGAATGGTACCAGAGCTTATACCACTGGAAGCCCAAAATCCATTTACAGGGTTCCCATTGGACAAAGCCTCCACTGGATCCCCTGTGACCACAATCCAGGGATGTGAACAGCAATGATGTCAGAGAGAAAGCATTGTAAAGTGGATGACAGCAGGTGTAATTGTGTTAAAACATAACACCTCATCATTTGATCTCCCTTTTGACCCATTTAAATTTGCTCCAGTTTTTGATATTTTTTGCTTTCTTTACATTTGAGGTTTTGCCCTGTTGTATTTTGTCATTGTTGTTGAGGGTTCTTTTGACTTTGTTTTGTATGTTTTTGGTACAGGAAAGCCAAGATAAGTATACCTATAGAGATAGTAATTGGATTAATAATTTCCTAGGGGCATGGCAGGGGAGGGTGGAGGGAAATGGGGAGCCAACAATAATGACTACAAGAAAGAGGAAAATTTCCTGAACTTGATTGTGGTAATGATAGCCTAACTCTTCTTGATATGATTGAACTATTGAATTGTATGATATATGAATTCTATGCCAATAAAACAATTTTTAAAAATAGTTTTAATTTTAAATGACGTGTATTGTAAGGTACAAATGAAAAATTACTATTTCTTTTAGCATTTGCAAACCAATGTTACTTATTCAGATTTTTGACTTATAGCTTTTTTACATTTCTGCATTAAACAAATCATTAACACCTTTTTTCTTTCTTTCTTTGTTTACCTGTCACTGCTTACAGACACCAAGGACTTATTGTTGTGCTAACACTGAAGATTTGGAAACAGCTGTTCACCATGTACACAGCCTGTACCCTGCTGCCCCTTTTCTGGCAGCGGGGGTTTCAATGGGAGGGTAAGGTTTTCCCTGTAAAAACTATCTGAGAGTAAAGTGGTTTTCTTGAATGCCTGTTTCAAAAACTAGAAGATGCTCCATAGATTTTTTTTTTTTGCTTGTTGTTTTTAAAATTTTTTTTAATTGTTTTTTTTTCTTTTTTAAATCATTTTATTGGGAACTTGTACAACTCTTATCACAATCCATACATCCATCCATTGTGTCAAGCACATTTGTATGTTTGCTGCCATCATCATTTTCAAAACATTTGCTTTCTACTTGAGCCCTTGGTATCAGCTCCTCATTTTTACCCCTCCTTCCCCACACGCCCCACTGAACCCTTGATAATTTATAAATAATTATTATTTTGTCATGTCTTACACTGTCCAATGTCTCCCTTTACCCATTTTTCTGTTGTCTGTCCCCCAGGGAGGGGGTTATATATAGATCTTTGTGATCGGTTCCTCCTTTCTACCCCACCTTCCCTTTACCCTTCTGGTATTGCTGCTCTCATTGGTCCTGAGGGGTTTATGTGTCCTGGATTCCCTGTGTTTCAGTTCTTATCTGTACCAGTGTACATCCTCTGGTCTAGCCGGATTTGTAATGTAGAATTGGGATCATGATCGTGGAAGGGGAAGCAGTAAAGAAGTAGAGGAAAGTTGTATGTTTCATCAGTGCTATACTGCACCCTGACTGGATTGTCTTTCCTGTGACCCTTCTGTAAGGGGATGTCCAGTTGCCTACAGATGGGCTTTGGGTGTCTACTCCCCACTTCCCCTCATTCACAATGATGTGATTTTTTGCTTTTTGGTGCCTGATACCTGATCCCTGATCCCATTGACACCTCGTGATCACACAGACCAGTGTACTTCTTCCATGTGGGCTTTGTTGCTTCTCAGCTAGATGGCCGCTTGTTTATCTTCAAGCCTTTAAGACCCCAGACACTATATCTTTTGATATCTGGGCACCATCATCTTTCTTCATCACATTTGCTTATGTACTTGATTTGTCTTCAGTGATCGTGTAGGGAAAGTGAGCATTATAGAATGCCAGTTTAATAGAACAATGTGTTCTTGCATTGAGGGAGTACTTGAGTAGAGGCCCAATATCCATCTTCTACCTTAATAATAAACATATAAATATATGTACATAGATCTGTTTCCCCATATATATAATATTTTGTCATATATAAATATATTTGCATATGTACATCCCTATATTTAAACCTCTATAAACGCCCTTTGGCTCCTAGTTCTTTCCTCTATTTCCTTTTGTCCCACTATCATGCTCAGCCTTCATTTGGGTTTCAGTAGTTCCTCTCAGTTACAATGCCCTTGATCAAGCCCTACTAGGCCTCCTTTACCCTCCTCACCATTAATTTTGGATCACTTGTTCCCTTGTCCCTGGGTTTGTTAACACCCACTTCCTTTCCCCCACCTTCCCCTCTCCCATGTCCCCCTGGAACCGTCTGTCCCGTTGTTTTCTCCAGATTGTTTATCCCACCTATCTTATCTAGGTAGACCTACAGAGATAATAATATGCACAAAAAAACAAGACAGAGCAAAACAAAGCAACAAGAGCAAAACCAACAACAACAACAAAAAACAATGACAAAAAAAAAAGAAAAGCCTGTAAATAATTCAAGGTCTATTTGTTGACCTTTAGGAGTGTTTTCTGGTCGAGTCTGATGGGGTGCCAAGCCCTGGCCCCAAAGTCTATTTTTGGTATTCCCTGGGGACTTCATTGCACTGTTCCCCTTGCTGTTCTGTTGCACACCCTTAGTGTTTTGCCTCGGTGTTATAGGGTCAGATCGGGTGCAATTCCCACACTGTGTCTCCAGTATTGTCCCCTGTGGGGCTATGGGAGAGTGAGGGATGTCATGTCTTGTAGTGGGGCGGCCTTATGGTCCTCTCTGTGCATTGGCTGCTCTGAGCAAGGATATAGTTTTCAAGGCTTGGTGGGTCAGGATGTGCTCCACTCTCTCTTCCTCCCCCTTCATTTGCTCCTGTGCGCTCTGATCAGTCACGTCCCTCTTCCTGAGCTGTAGCTTCAGGGCTGTCCTCTGAAGTGAATTCTTCTGGTGGGAGGGGGGCTGTCCATGTAGTTGGGTTTGGGGCCAGTCCCTCAGACCTCTCTATGGGTTGTTTTAAAATACATGTTTGATTATTTTTGATTATTCACCACTTGTGGTTGAATGAATGAAGAAATTCTTTCAGATCAATCTTAGTGTTGTCCTTTACTACTAGCTACCATGTGAAAAGGACAAACAGGCATCCACACTTAAGAGTTTGGTGAACTTGGAGGCTTCTTAGAAATCTGTGAAGTTGATTTCCTTCCTCAGGGGCTGTCATGGTGAGCCCCCAGCTACCTCTGGTCTCCTTGACTAATAGGAAGCTGAACTTGCAGCATGACTTTCATCATTCCAGTAACAGAAAGGATCATATATTGCTCTGCTCAACTGCAATGATGTTCAAAAATAGGTTTTCCAAGGTGTTTTTTATTTGTTTGTTTGTCTTGTTGTTGGGCAAATCAACCTACAACTCTTCTATAAGTTGTAAGATTTTGCTGTTAACCTCTTCTGCTCCAGCTGCTATTTTGTACTTAGGTACCTAATTATGATTTGTGGTGCTTGCAATTAAATTTGGGTTTTGAGGGAACTTTTCATGTGTATATATTTCTACTAATATTCTTTCCCTTCTTCTAGTGGTGGTGTGTTTAAGGAAATTGAAATTTTCCTATTTATTTATTGTTATTTAGATTTCCTAAAGCATTGTCCAAACTCACTTTATTAAATCAGCAAACACTTGAGGTAAAAAATAATTAGTGACGCCAGTGTTGGGATTGGTTGGGGATCATGGGGAGAATTCCTGTTGGAGAAAGGTGTAAAGATGAACTGAGGCACAGGATGAGTGAGAGCGGTACCTTCTCCCGGAGACTCCTTGCACCAATTCAGCTCAAAGCAAGGGCCAACCTGAGTTAAGCTCTCCTGAGATGACCAAGCAGCCGGACTACGACCTGGAGAAAATTGAGAACAAAGCAGAACCCACACAAAGCAGAACCCACCGTAACCATACATCCCAATTACCTCTCAGTCCTGCAAGCTTTCAGGAAGGCCCTGGCCCTGGTCATGCAGGTGGAAGAGCAGGCCAGCAAAGAAACCAGCAGCAAGAAATAGCCCCAATGAGGACTGCAAATAAATTTGAAAATAATGGAAGTTCCCCACAAACTTTTTGAAGCCCCCTTGTATATCTATCACACAACTTTTGCCTGTTCGGTTATTTACAGGTTTAAGCCTTATTGACAGCAATTACAAGAATCTGTTTGCAAGCGTACTATTCCCCAATCCATGTAGTTTTTCCATCACCCCTACCCTCCACCTCCCACTTTCTGTATACTGACCCTCGTAACCACTAATAAAATTTGATATCTATTAAAAATAATAATAAAAATTAGTGGCTTTCTTTTTGTCTCTGGCTGCTTGAGCATTCTACACCACCATGAAGGACACAGTAACCATCCAGGGCAGGAAGTTAATGACCAACCAACTACTTCAGCGAAAAGGTCATTGCTGTCCTTCACCCTGGGAAAGCGACAGTGCCAAAGACAGAAATTCGTGGAAAACTAGCCAAAATGTACAAGACCACACCAGATGTATCTTTGTATTTGTATTTAGAACCCATTTTGGTGGTGGCAAGACTACTGGCTTTGGCATGATGTATGATCCTTTGCATTCTGCAAAGAAAAACTAACCTAAACCCAGACTTGCAAGATATGGCCTGTATGAGAAGAAAAGACCTCAAGAGAACAAGGCAAGGAGCGCAGGAACTGAATGAAGACGGTGGGGGCTGCACGGGCCCACGGTGGCGCTGGCAGAAAGGAAGAATAAAGAGTCGACAGTGGCTTGACCAGCACTGGGTATGTGGATTTTTCGCCAGAGAATCAATAAACTAGAAAGGTGTTTTAAAAATAATAATAATTAGTGTTTCCTTGATTTTGTCATTGATTTACAAATCCTTTCAGCTTTTAAAACAGCTTAGTATATTTACTTGAAAATGGTAGACTTTACGATTGACAGACTGAAAAATAGTCCTTTCTCGTTGCTTTATCGTTCCTGATATGCCTAAAACTAAGAAGAGAATGGATTTTTTACATTAGCATGGAAGAGCTGCCTTGACCCACTAAAGGAAGAAATCTGAACCAATGCCGAAAATCCAGACAGGATCTCTGAACTGTGCTTAATGGACAGTATTTAGCTTCTCTCTCTTTTGCCCTATAATGTGGACCTTAGAGGAAAGGGTGCCAAGCGAACTTTTTCCCCCATTTATCATACAAATTCTTAACTGTTTCTTAGGGTCAGACTTTATATAAACAAGCCCAGATTCCCAATTCAAAAGCTCTTGGTAAATGCTTATTCCTGGTGCATTGAAGCTGCCGTGCCTGAAGGCAGACTTGACCATTCTTCTTTGCAGCTGGTTGATTATTAATATCTTGTAATTGTTTGAAGGAAGCACCTCTCTAGTTGCCTAGCATTGTAACACATTCCCAAGTGAGCTTACCAGTTGTGGATGTGTTTTACAGCTTGACACTTTTTTTTAAGGTGCAGAAGATGAAAAACATAGGCTGTCAATCACTCTTATGCCCAGTGCCCCTTACACTGTGATAATCCCCAAGCCAGTGATGCTTGGGACCAAGTACAGACCTTGAGCCAGAACTAAGGCAAACTGGAACCCACACCCTCTTTGCTTGTTGTTAGGTACCCTGACATTGATTCTTACCTATCATGACCCTGTGTAACAGTGAAGAATTGCCCTGTGTGGTTTCCCAGGCAGTAATCTTTAGGGAACGGAGTGCAAGACTTTTGTCTTGTGGAGCCCCTGGATGAATTTTGAACCGCCAACCGGAATGTTTGCAGTTGATCACATAACCATTGTGCCACCAGGACTTCTGTGTTGTTCTTTTTTTTTATCGTTTTATTAGGGGCTCATACAACT